AGATGTGTTAAAGGGTAAGACCCGAGTTTGATTACTGGCAATTGCGCTGGGAAGCAATTATGCTAAGCATAGAGTCTCTGCAAGTACACCATTCAGGTGGAGACTCTACTTTTTACCACCAATCTGCAATTAAAATCAAATTTACCTTCTGTCAGTGACTGTCCGATTGGGTCTGAGGGGACCTTTGGAGATGTGGCTCATCCTTTTTGAATAAAAAAATCTAAAAAAAATATCATTTCGGATGTAGATATATACATATTCTGACAAAATCTACTAAATTTTGAATTTAAAAAAAATCACATGTATAGAATCTGCCTATCATCAGAGACCCAAACCAAATTTTTTAAAAATTGAAAATCCATTAAAAATGAAATGAGTGCAATCTTAATTCATCGAAGAACAAGGATAGGTTGGACCAAAACATATTTATTAGCCCATTAAAATTTAATACAATATTGGGTTGGATGGCCGAAAATACAACATAATTGTTTATATGTATCTAATTATTTAAGTTTATAAATTAATTACTTTTTTCTAAAAAAATAAATTCTTTGATTTATTTCAACGAAATTTTGTATTCATACATGCCAACGTGTTGACAATAAGACGTCATTGTTGACTTCTCCAAGTATCTAACTAGTACAGAGTATATCACAAGGACATACATCTTGTGTTCCAATAAATTTTTTGGGCGACATTACAAATGGTTAGACTAATACGGTCTAATATATCAATATAAAAATTGTTATATGCCGTTCCAATATAGGTAGTTTATAAGTGGATTTTTTGGAATGTTTGATTGGTTTTACTGTGCACTGCTTACTGTTCTTCATTCACATATTATGTATTGCGCTCTTACTCACTCTTTTATGTTTTGTATCTATATTTAAAGTTAAAGAAAAAATATTATTTTTAAATGAGAATGCGTCCATATCTACAGTTTATAAACTGATAGTCAAAAATTTAACTTATTTATAATCATTTCAATTAGGACAATTTTTCCTTCCCGTGCACTGCACGAGGGATGAACTAGTTTCTTTTTTAAGCCAAAAATGATATTTTGTCGTTACATTAGATAAAATTCTAGATATTTTTTTATAAAGATTTATGTAGGAAGTCAGTAATCACACGAGATTTCATTCCAAAACCCAACAAACAATGGAATTGTTCCAATTTCTTAAGTCGTACACACGAACCAATCAAGAAAATGCATTGGACGAAACATTAATAGTAATGGGCTTAACCAAGAAAACTTCTCGCGTCACGAATTTGATGAGTCCACTTTTATGTAGAGAAATTTGCACTAAATAGGACTAAAACATAATGACTTTCCTAATCTAAGACTTAAACTTTTTTATTCCCTAAATAGGACTTAATAATGTCTTCGTGGAAGGAATAATGCCCAGCAATGATGGACATTTACTTGAATAATGACTAATTAATAATGACCAAAGGTTCTACATTGAGAAATAAAAACATATGGTCCTATTTTAAGAAAGTCATTATGTTTTAGTCCTATTTAGATAAATTATAATCCGTGGAAATAACGTGAAATTATAATTAAACTAATCCTCTCAAATTTAGCAAGTCTAACTCCATCATTAAATCCATTTCATTAGTTCAAACAAGAATTAATTCCATTGCGAAACCATCAAAAAAACAAAATCCAATGCGAAATCCTGAATTTAGAATTTCGTAGACCTGTTAATAAAAGTCAAAGATCCCCACGATAATTTGGCAGAAAATAAGCATATATTCTATGGACTTTGAAGCCACTTAAAAAAAGTGCAAAACACATAAAGAGACTTGTTTTTTTTTTGTTTAGTTATCCAACTGTAAACGGTTTGTAAATTGCAAATGCTCCATATAAAAATACTCTCTCATCAATATTTTTTTTGACTATTTTGTGTGTTTAATAAAAAGTTAATATTTCAGCTGCATAATTAATGGGATATAATTAAACCACGGGCGGGATAAAGTGTTCACTACTTGATTGACTGATATATTGAGTGACTATTTAAGAGCTAAAAAGTAGCAATAAGACATTTTTTACTCACCCCTAATTATAAGGCTTTTGGCGAAAAGAGATTTAATTTCTCCTTGTTTCAAGGTATACATTAAGCTTTATTTCTATTATACTTTATGAACAAAATTTGTTTTGTTTGAGTATCAAATAATACTCTTTCCGTTCCTTAAGATATTCTCATTTTATCTTTTTATGATTTTTAAGGAAAGTTAAAAAGGTAAAAGTTTATCAAAATATCTTTAATGAAAATGAGTGGAGTATATTAAATGAGATTAGTTAGGTGTAATAAATAAAATAAATGAGAATAGTTATAATATTTCAAAAATCATATAAATTTTTATTTATTTGATTGAATTGCCTGTTTTCATTTATCATAAAATAAATAACATATTCTTCTCACCAGTCTCTTGCTTTGTAGAACTTTAAATTTTGATGTACTTTTTAAAATATTCATAGTGAGTTTTACTCCGTGTTTTTTATGTTTGTACTTAAAAACCTAAACTTCTGCTTTGTTTTACGTAATGTTTTTTTGACAAGAAAGTCATATTGTTAAATTTTTAGTGTCAAAATTGATACTCGCTTTGTCCCGGTGCATTTGTCTAGTTTAACTTATTTGAGTCAAATTAGATAAATTTTGAGTTCAATTAAATAAAAACATAAATATTTATTTGTATAAAAATAATTTTAGCAGATTTATATCGTTGAAAAGTTTTAAAATCTTATTTTATTATATTAATATACATTATAAATGAAAAACCATTAAAGTTAAAACTTTTTTTATTCACTCGAAAAAATCAAACTGAGTACTCCCTCCGTCCTAAAACTTTCTTCCCAGAGCACTATTCCAACTTCACGAGAATTTATATTTATTTGTGTTTTTTCATGGCCTATATGATAAAATAAAATATTATTGTCACCACTTGTTTTGTTAAACTTTTGATGTAGTTTTTAAATATGTATATTTTATTTTTTATTTCTATACCAATATTTAAATAAAATAGATTGAAAAAACTTGAGATTTTTCTTGGTTTTGCGAACCGGGAAGAAAGTTTTAGGACGGAGGGAGTAAATAACTAGGACGAAAAGGTCACATGGCCCAACACGTTTTGAGGTTAATGATTGGGTTCATAATTTGACCGCATTTTGTTTTTGAAATAATAATTTGACCCCGGGGAACAAAAAGTTAGTTGTAGTAATGATTAGTTGATCATCTTTCAATCATCAGTTACTGTTTGGTTGGTTGAACTCATACATTAAATTATAGTGAAATTTGCATTGAATAGGACTAAAACATAAGTCATTTCACAATATAGGACTTAAACTTTTTTATTCTCTAAATAGGACTTAATAATGACTAGTGAGAAGAATAATGTCTAAGTGATGCTAGAGATATTTAGTTGAATAATGACTAATTGATAATGACCAGTGGTCCTACATTGGGAAATAAACTCATATGTTCTTATATTGAGAAAGTCATTATGTTTTAGTCCTATTTAGGTAAATTACCCTAAATTATATAGGGAGTATTTTCGTTTTGGCATTTTTATGTAAATTCACATTCTTTTTTTCTTTGTTCGTTTATACGGATTTTTTAAAATATGGTTTATTATTATTATTATTCTTGTTATTATTATTATTAATATTATTATTATTATTATAGTCAAAGTTTTAAACAATTCAATATCTTTAAAAAGCACTTATTGGGATCCAAACTCTCCCCCAGATTAGTCTTAAAGAACTCAAAATCTTTGATAGTGTCAATTTCTATACCGACAATAATCAAGAACATAACTCCTTTATTGTTCCGTTTGTCCCTTAAGAGGTTAACATTTTCTTTTACAAAATTCAATAAAAGTATTAAGTAATTAAATACTCTATAAGTAACATTGAAATTTAGTTTGAAGAAAAATGTGTGAATACATAATTTGGAGTCAATATCACGTTCTTTTAGAAACGTGCACTGAGTACGAAGCAGAGAGTGTAAACTACTTGGTCCGAAATGAAAAAAATGTAACTTGTGTTTTTCGCGGATATTATCATTATTGCTATGAAGTACTCCGTATTTGATTTAGTCGGTCCAATTCAGTTTTTCATACAGATTTTGATCAAAGATCAAATCAAAACTTACAAGTAAATGTTCTCTCAGTGTGTAAGCATTTTTTTAAATTTGATTTTTTAAGAGTTTGAGAAAAATTTTGAAAAAATAAAAATTGCTTGATCTCCGTAATTTATTTACATGAGAAAAAGAAATATAAAATTATTTTGGTTTTCCTATGCTAATTTTTAGAGCAATGCTAGTACCCCATTACCAAAGGTGTACCCCATTTGTTCCCCACCCCCTTCTCTACCACCCATTTTTATCTATTTTTTATTTTTTTTTTAAATACTTACCCATTTATGTGATAATGGAGGGGTGAGGAACAAATGAGGTACACCAAAATTTCAGAAAATTACTTACGGGTGACACGAGTTTTGTCGAAACAACTCTCAGGTCTTTCGATTTTCAAAAAGATAAGCAAGATCCTAACATTTTATTGTAATGACTTGGAGGGACATTCCATCCAATACTTCATCCATAAGAGTTAATAAAGGTATTTTTTCCTATTTTGACATTACCATTTTTTCCTATTTTTCCATTACTCGGTTTTCTTTAGAAATTTTTTTATTTCATTAATTTTTATATCATACAAACAATTTTGAATTTTTATACGATTTTATAGAAAAAATTCTAAAAAAACACTCTAAAAAAGAGTAACAAAAAAACAAAGAAATAAAAATGAGCGACCTAAGAGTTATTACCATAAAATATTAAGGAAAAAATATATTTATTAACGTTTATGGATGAAATATTGGATGAAATGTCCCTTCCCAATCATTACAACAAAATGTAAGGACATCCTTTGTTTTTTTAAAAATAGAGGGACCTGAGAGTTATTTCGACAAAACTCAGTCAACTGCAAGTAATTTTCTGCCAAATTTTTCTCCTTGCCCATTTTTCTAATTTTTATTATCAAAAAAAATTTGTGTGAACTGATGAAGGGGGAGGGATGAAGAAGAATAAATCTCCGCCGGCATTAATTCACCCCCCTTTACCCGTTACCGTTTGAGGGCATTAATTGCCATCCGATGAACATCGACATTTCTTTAAAAGTCTGCGTAGTTTCTCCTTGTTGCAGCTAATGGTCCCTTGTTTTCAGGGTTTTATAATCTGAATTTCGCCCTTGATTTCTATTCATTTTACTCATTCTGTAATCCTGTTTTTTTTGGAGGGTGATCGAGCATGTCCGGACCTCTTGATCGCTTCGCAAGGCCTTGTAAGTTGTTGACTTTTTTATTATCATTGAAATTTTACAAGAATTGATCGGGTTCTGGTTTGCAATAATATATGATCTGCATTGTTTGTCAGATGTTTTCAAAGAATGGTTTTTTTTTTGTTCTAGGGTTTGTTTTCAGCTCTGTTAGCTACTCATGTTTACATTAATTTGTGGGAGGGGGGATAGAATCAGAAAGATGTGTTCTTTGAGGTTTCTTTATCATGTGGGGATGAATTCGCGTTGAATTTAACCATATGTCCCTAAAACAAATTGTTTATATAGGGTATCGGGATCACACGAGGCTGGAAAGTTATAATTTTATTGGAGTAGTGTAATCTTTTTATCATTGTTCATTCCTAGTTTGATTTATTCTTGTGATATGGTGATGCAATCACAGCTAGGAAAGAATAGTTGTGCGAAGAATCCGAAGATGGAATGGGAATTGAGGGGATACGAATTGAATCCTTAACAAAACTTCCTAAACCAACACACTAAGGCCGGCAATTCTTCTTGTTTCGGTTACAGTTTCAGAAAAAAACTCCTCTATAGTTTTTAAGTTTTTGAATTAGAATCGATGTAAGTTGTGCCTTTGTTATGTTACACTTGTATGTAGTTTGTTGGTGCTAATTATTCTGGCTCAACGTAAACCGTGATGATAACAAACAGAGCAAGAATGAATTGCTCTTATTAACAAAATATATCGTTGTTAAGATGTATTGCTCTAGGCTTTTCTAGTCCTGACCTTAAAAAGAAAGGTATTTGAAGTATATTTCTAGTCAGGTTTAAGAGAATGAACATGTGTTCTGTATAACTTGTATTCAGGCTTTGAGGGTTCGTCTGCAAACGATGAGAGGCGGGAAAGAAAATCTGATTTTGAGTGCTCAGAGGAAGAGAGAAGGACAAGAATGAGTTCTCTCAAGAAGAAAGCTCTGAGTGCGTCAACAAGATTCAAACACTCTCTCAAGAAAAAAAGCAAAAGAAGAAAGAATGATGGGCGGTGCAGCTCTGTCTCAATTGAGGATATCCGGGATGTTGAAGAGCTACGAGCAGTTGATGCATTTAGGCAATCATTAATTTTGGATGAGTTGTTAATGGAGCAGCATGATGATTATTATATGATGTTGAGGTAATATCCGTTCCATCTAAATGCATCCAATTGTTTAGTTGGGAAAAGGTGCAAATATGTTCTTTATCTTTGTCTTTAGGTGTAGATTGGCCCTTAAACGCTTTTTTCGCTGTAAATATGTCTCTAATGCATCTCTTCCAGCCCAAAAATAATGTTTTCTTTGAAGTTCGTATTGGCCCAAATTCTAAAATAAAAATTGTAAAAATTACGAAAAAATAATTAAAATAATATATTGAGTGTAAAAATGAAAACAAATAAAAAAAATTGCTGCTTCAGGTTTCTGAAAGCAAGGAAGTTTGACATTGAGAAAGCAAAGAACATGTGGGCTGATATGATCCAGTGGAGGAAAGATTTTGGTGCTGATACACTTCTTCAGGTAATTGTCCCGATTAATGCAAGGATCTGCATCTACCCCTTTTTTTATGTATGAAATGAAATATTTCCTTTCATCGATACTTTTCATCATGAAATATTTCATTTCATGAGCCTGTGTTTTTTTTTAGCCAAGAATCTTTCGCAAACAAAGCCTCTACCTTTATGGGTAAGGGTAAGATTTGTGTGTATCTACCCTCCGCAAAGGCCCAATCCCCATTTGTGGTTCTTACTAGGTTGTTATTGATACTTTTCGTCAGGACTTCGAGTTCAAAGAGATAGATGAAGTTTTGAACTACTACCCACAAGGTTACCACGGGGTTGACAAGGAGGGAAGACCTGTGTATATTGAAAGGCTCGGAAAAGTTGATCCTAACAAACTCATGCAAGTCACAACATTGGACCGTTACATAAAATACCACGTTAAAGAGTTTGAGAAAACCTTTGCTATCAAGTTTCCAGCTTGCACAATTGCTGCAAAGAGGCACATAGACTCTAGCACAACGATTCTGGATGTTCAAGGAGTGGTATGTTTCTGTTTCTTGTCTCTCTGAATCTGTGTAGAAGTTTTTTTCTTGCACCAACTTCCACATTCTTTTGTGTTTGTTAATTTTTGTTCAGGGTTTCAAAAACTTCAATAAGAATGCTCGGGAGCTCATTATGCAGTTGCAGAAGATTGATGGTGATAATTATCCAGAAGTATGTTCACTTCATGACTTGATTAGCTTGAATGTGGCATGCTCCAATTATTATTTAGGGAATGAATCATAATCTTATACGAGTACTTTCTTTGTTTTGATTTTGGTAGACACTCCATCAGATGTTTATCATCAATGCTGGTCAAGGATTCAAGTTGTTGTGGAATACCGTAAAAAGCTTTCTAGATCCCAAGACCACTTCCAAGATTCATGTATGTCCATTTGTTTTTAGTTCACAAAAAAGTATTTTGAATTGTCGATGTGCCATGCAATTTGCCTTTTCAACCTCGCAGCATAATTTTCTTTTCTACGTTTCGTCTTTTTTACAGGTTCTTGGGAACAAGTATCAAAACAAGTTGCTTGAAATAATAGATGCTAGGTGATTGAATTTTTTTAATTGCTTTACTTGTGCTTTCATTTTCAATAAGAGCCCGTTTGGCAAGGCTTGAATTGAGAAAAGTAGTATTTGCTTAAATTGTTGGAAGTTATTGAATCTGGCTGGAGCAAGCAACTTTTTGTTCCATTCTCCAGCCATGGCTTGCTAATGAAATATAAAACTCTCGATTTGCTATAATTTGGGGAGCTTGCTATATTAAGGAAGCTAATTTCATTTTTTGGCAGGCTTGCTAAAATATAGCACACCCATTGGAGAAGAGAAAGGGGTTTGTTTGTTGTATTATAGTAGGTTTTAGCATCCCAAAATGGGATGGTTGGAGATGCTCTAAGCCAAAACTAAAGCCTACCAAACGGGGCCTAAATCTCCATTTTCATTAAAGAAGGCTATTCACTCACCTCTAACTACTTGTGTACACAGTGAGTTGCCAGAGTTTCTAGGTGGAACCTGCACTTGCTCAGATCAAGGAGGTTGCCTTCGTTCTGATAAAGGACCATGGAAAAATCCAGCAATATTAAAGGTGTCACAGCATATTCTCTGCCCTTCTCTCATCTTCCTCTCCCAGTTTATGCTTTTTGGTAACACAATAAAATGATATCAAAATCTCTACGTGCTGCCTGCAGATGGTTGGTGAAGCACGGCGTTTCAAGCAGGTTCTTAAAGTTCTAAACACTGAAGGAAAGGTAGTCTACGCAAAACCCCGTTTCCCAATGGTGCGTCTTCTTCTACCCTCTATCCTCTACCTGTATATACATTGTGCTTCATAAATTATTATTATTAATATTACTACTACTTTTGGTGCACCTAATAACTCTTCACCAGGTAAAAGGCAGTGACACATCTGCAGAGTCGGGCTCTGAAGCTGAAGATGTTGTTTCACCAAAAGCTATGAAGAGTTTCTCGTATCCACAACTTACTCCTGTTCGTGAAGAGGTAGTTTTCTTCTCGATTGATGATTTGAGCAATCAGGATAATTGTTCAATAATTTTATCTTCTTCATTTTATAACATGCTGTCTTGCCCATGCCAAGAAACAGGCAAGAGCTCCTGGGACAGGCAGCTATATGAAAAACTCCTCAGGACATGATGAATATCTTCCCGTGGTTGACAAGGTTGTCGATTCTTGTTGGAAGAAAGACACATATCTTCAGAATCCCTATTTTCCTAAAGGTGTAAACATGAAACATAAAGATGATTATTTGCATACGGAAAAAACTCCAGATGGACTATACGCACGGGTTTTAGGAGCTCTTTTGACTTTCTTCATGGCGGTTTTCATGCTTCTTCGCACGGTTGTCTTTGGTGCTACAAAGAAACTTCCGGAAGCATCCTCCTCCCACCAGGACCAAACTTTAGCACTTGCTAAGGACGAAGAGTTCCGACCTCCTTCACCAACTCCAGCATATACACAAGATGAACTTCTCTCTGCTGTGCTCAAGAAGTTGGGTGAACTGGAAGAGAAAGTAGTTGCCATTCAAGAAAAGCCATCGGAGATGCCAAACGAGAAAGAGGAGTTGCTAAATGCTGCTGTCTGCCGAGTGGATGCCTTAGAAGCCGAACTGATTGCTACCAAGAAGGTAATCAAATACTGGTTTATAGGTATATTATAAACACTAATTGTTACGTTGTACGAAAAATTTCTTTTAGAATCTTATTTGTTTCCCTCCATTCTTTTTCTTTCTGGTTGAACAGGCTTTGTATGAGGCTTTGATGAGGCAAGAGGAACTTCTTGCCTACATTGATAGACAAGAAGATGCCAAGTATAGGGTGGGTATCTATCTATGATTATCTTTGCAAGGCATTTTTGTTTACTATAGAATTTTTACAATCCCCCCCTTTTTTTTGCAGAAAAAGAAGTTTTGCTTCTAAGGTCCTCGGTCATGGCCCCCGTGCAGCTTGGTGTGTTTAACAATACATTGGATTGAGATTTATATTGTATTTTGTTTGTTTGAATTTTTATACGATGACTTGACCGTGTAATTGCACCGATATATACCGTACCATATTACCATACCATTGTGAAACAAAAATGTACTGAATATGTGCATATATCCAAAGAACAAATATGTACTCAATGTCTTATGCTTGCGTTCTTGTGTTGTGTGTGAAGTCTTTTTTAATTGAAAGAACAATAAAATTGGCTGATCTATTGTCCACCAAATAAGTTGTACTATCAATTCCAAATCCACATAATTTTTGTGCTGCCAAACACCAGAATTGGAATTGAAGTCTTCAATTCCAATTCCATAGTTTGAATTCTGTGTACCAAACGGGGCCTAAATGTTTTCCCGGGGAATAAATTGGCCAAAATAATTTGTTTGATGTTAAATATAAATATATAATGCTTAACCATCAATAATAAAAAAAAAGATAAATTTGGACCAAGAAAATATTTTTGTCAAATCAAATGGACCCCTAAGTGTGCACTTTACTAACAATATATGGAGTGTTAAGATTTTTTTAATAATTATAGCACATGTATGATAAAATACACATTTAGGACTTGTTCTTTTTACGTGATCTGATTGATACTGATATGATTGGAATAAGTTTTGATCTGACATGGTCTAATCGTAATTATATTCAAAGCTATTTCGGACCTGGTCTGAATTCATGCGAATAAGAATACATAATACTCCCTCCGTCCCTGAGCATTTGTCCACTTTTGACCTTTTTTGGTCAAAATTGGTAAATTTTGACCTCAAATTAAATGAAAATGACATTATATATTGATACAATTTTTTTTATTAGATTTGTTATATCTAATATATTCAAAATATTATTTTATTTAATAAATATACAATATATATTTTATTTAATTATAGGTCAAAGATTGAAAACAGTTGGCCGAAAAAAGTCAAAACTGAACAAATACTCAGGGACGGAGGCAGTAAACTAAGAAACTAACTATTCGTTACTGTGGATTCATTTGGCTTTCATTTGTATATTACATGTCAAACCATGAATGAGTTACGTTTAAATTAAATAAACACTATGCTGTGTTTTATTTTGAGTCTTACCTAGACCTTGATGTCGAAAAAATACATAAAAGATAATAAAAATTTCTTTGTTTTCACGCGGGTTACATAAATGAAAGCAAAATGAGTTGAGATCTGATAGGACGACGGAAAAGTTTGAAGAAATATTTTTTTTAAAAAAGAATGATCAATAGCAAATTTGTGTTTCAAGACCATTACCATCATAAGACTTGAGAGTTTAGATGGATTAAGAATGGATTGTGTGCATGGCCATCTAGAGAGAGACTTAAGAGTTTAGACTCTGTATAATATATACAACACAGGTATAGTGTTACAAATGTTTACATGGGCAAAATCATTCTTGTTTGAAGGCATATATGATGTAAACATATACACAAAGCTTTAACAATAATAAACATAAACAAACAACATTGAAACAAGCCAAGGGGTGAATGCCACTTTATGCATGTCCACTAGGTACCTAAATTTGGTTGTTTCCTATACACATATACATACATTAATTATCTTCATGCATTCTCTCTTAAACAGTTCAAAAGCCAAAGAACTTCTTTTTCTTTTTCATCTTCTCAAGGTAGGCCATGATCTCACTTTGATGGCTAAGAGCATCCTCAAGAGCCTTGTTGGTCGTGGCAAGTTGTTGCTCCAACACGTCGACGCGATTCAAAGCGTTGGCAAGCTGGTCCTCCTTGTCGAGTGGCATCGTGGGTGGTTTCTTGCTGAGAGTGATCACTTTCTCCTCCAACTCGGCCATGCGTTTCATCATGTTCAAATACTCTGTGACAGAGATAGAAGCAGGCTGTTCGTTATAGAAGTGCGGGTTCCCCCCTCCCTTACTCATCCCATCACGCATTGACCCGGAATAGAAGGTCGCGTCGGTGAGCTTGCTCGGCATGTTTCGTGACATTCGGACCATCGTCACAACGCCCATCACAAAGGTCATCATGCTTGAGAAGAGTTGGTTCCCTTTGTCTGATGATGGCTTGCACGCATCATGTGCGGTGTAATAATCTGCCACTGAAATTATGGGTGGATATTGTTAGAGTACAAAGTCTTTCTCGGGCATACACTCAGAAACTTGAGCTTTTGGTTGACAAGATTCCTTAACATGGGTATCAAGGACTTTTAAATCTGAAGGGAGTACCTTTTGCAACACTGAAGTTGTCACCCTTTAGTGAACTTACTGCCTTAGACCAGCTTGGGTGAACATTCTTTTCCACAGTGGGGATGTACTCATTTTGTTGGCACACCTGCACATTAGTAAACTATGATAATATACCAACATCACGGTTCTTTTGACACTGGACTCCAGTGTCATCTATTTTGACACTAGACCCCAACAGCCTACGGTGTTTCGTTGGGCACGGTGGTTCCTACCCCTAATCCCTCAAACTCCCTAACCCCCGCCCAGTGTAGCCAATCAGCAAATGTGGGGTCGGGGTTTTGAGGGGTTAGGACTCACTTCCGGACCCAACAGAGAACCTTAGGTTGTCTGAATGACTTTTGAAATAGCAACTCACTTCCTCTTGAACAGATGAGAGCTTCTTTGCCGAGTCCAACGCGAAAGAAGGGATTTTCTTAACACTGGCGGCGCTCTCACACTCGGTGATAGTTTTCTCTTCCACCAGAGTTGGAACACCCATCTTGTTCGAGCACTTGTGATCCCCGTTTCGAACCATCTGAAACGATTCTCACATGTTTTACTAGAATTTTTTCACGGGATTAATGAAGTAAAGTCTAGATGAAATGACCTTCATGATTTCAGGGTCATTCCATGGGCCTTTGTCGGAGATCATACACCCTCCCTTGTCTGCGCACGTGCAGGTGCCACCGAAGAACTCTGGAAGTTCACTGCCTCAAAGTGATAAGAGGATGTCTCATGTTTGAATTCTTATTTACATTAATATACAACAATAGTAATGCTAGCTGCTACCTGGCATCAATGATTTCAAGCAACTTGCTCTGGTACTTGTTGCCGAGAACCTTAATTTGGGACGAAGAGAGTATTTGTTACTATTTATTATTCCATAATCCACTAAAAAAAGAATATTTGTTACATAATGTATCGGATTTCATATGAAGCTCCTACTCACATTAATCTTAGCAGTGGTCTTGGGATCAAGGAAGGACTTGACTGTGTTCCACAAGAGCCTAAATCCTGAACCAGCATTGATGATGTACATCCGGCACAATGTCTACACAGTAAAAGTAAATAAATAATTACATTGATCTACTTCTATAAAGGAAGGTGGGTAAAATTTGACTCAAAAAGTCAAACCGTAAAGAATCTTTTTGGGACGAAGAAAGTATATATATACCCACCTCAGGGTAGTTGTCACCATCAACCTTTTGAATGGCCTGGATGAGCTCCCTAGCTGATTTGGTGAAGTTTTTCAGACCCTAATATATTTCAAAGCAGATAAAGCATTTGGCTACTCATATACACTGTTGTTGAACTAATTGCGAGATTTCACCCCAAAACCAATTGACAATTACATTCAGGCCAGGAAGATGAATCTGAATACAGTATATGATTTAACATACCACTCCCTGGACATCAAGAATAGTTGTGCTCTGGTCAATGTGGCGTTTGGAAGCGATAGAACAAGCGGGCATTTTATCGTTGTTGGTCCTCTCAAACTCCTGGACGTGGTACTTCATGTAACGCTCCATGGTGGTAACTTGCATCAGCTTAGTGGCATCAACTTGACCCAACCTTTCTATATACACCGGCCTACCATCCTTGTCTACCCCGTGATGCCCTTGCGGGTAGTATTTCAGCACCTCTTCCTTCTCCTTGAAATCAAAGTCCTAACAACAACAACAACAATGTACGCTATCCTTGTCAAGAAACCAACTCTACCCAGAAACTCAAACTAGCACCTTAGTTGAAGGCCCAAGAATGTTTTTATACTCTAATATGTTCGTAATCAACGATCTTTAAGTCCTTAAGCAATAATACCTCCATGATTGTGTCAGCACCAAATTCTTTCCTCCATTGCAACATATCCGACCACATTTGTTTGGATTTTTCCACATCAAATTTCCTGGCCTTCAAAAACCTGCATCATCATCATAACCATTTATGGTTCAATATTTTTTTAAGCGTTAAGGAATCAACTTAATTTAAAACTCAAGCTTGTGGTTCTAGGTCTAGGAAATGTTCTATACTCTAAGGGGCCTGACCTCAACATCAAATGATAATCGTCGTGTTTGGAGGGGAGCAATTCGTCGAGGATGAGGGCTTGGCGGAAGGCATCGACGGCCTTGACTTCCTCGGCGTCATGCTCGTCCTCCATTATCACAACAGAAAACACCCTGCTGTTTCTCCTCCCCTTCTTGGTCAGGGAATTCCTGAACTTGTTGGAGGCATTAATGGCCTTCTTCTTGAGCGACTCAAGCCTCCTCGTCTGCTTTTCGTCCATCTCAATTCTCTCCATACTGCCTGTCAATTTTCCATTCATACACAAACACCCATAGATCATAAACATATTATTCAATCATAAACAGAAAAAAAGAACGAAAGATTAAAAAATAACGAAAGATTATTACTTGGCCGGATGGGTGGTTCGTGAAGCCCCAACACATTGCCACTCATGACAGACAGCAATAAGAATGTTTGATTATGATTAAGGCTGGGTTATGTTTTGATATATGGAAAGGAACACATACATATACCTATACATGTATCATGTATGTATGTGTATGTGTATGCATATACACAATATAGAGGTATAGGACAGTATGTGTATGGTATATAATGGGAGATTATTAGATTATGATGCAGGGCAAAAAATAAATGGGAGGAGGGCTTAGGAAAGGAAGAAGATGATGGCTTAAAAGGGCCACCAAATTTCTCCTCAACAAAATGCGGCTTCCCAATGACACATACCTGTGGATGCCCTATTTTTGTTCAACTCCATTCGCCTCTAACTCATTTCTTAATTAAACAACCCATCAATCAATTACTTGGATTCTCCATTGTTATGCCGATTAACGAATGAATTTTTTTTTAAAAAAAAACCTAATCTCACTCACCGCCGCATTTACTTCTTTGAGCTCAACATCGGTGGCGGCCTCCGCCGCACTTTTTGGCAGCGAGAGTCTATTAACCTCTTCTGTGACTCCAATTATCAGCTCATCTTAGTTCCGGTATTGGAGCATTCTGGAGGTTGCCGGGCATTCGCGGCGGCACCGGATGGTTATGAGAGCCTGCGAGGGCGGCGACGTTGCTACACTCGGTCGGCGTCATAGTCGGCACCTCAACTCCCGTTTTTCATGGCATTTTTTATTTTGTAGGCATTTTATTTAGGAGTAATTTACCAAAATAAAAACTAACATTTTATCAATATAGGATCATATATTTTTATTTTCCAATGTTGGATAATTGGTTATTATTTATTAGTAATTATTCAACTAAATATCCAGCATCACTTAGACATTATTATTCTCACTAGTCATTATTAAGTCCTATTTATTGAATAAAAAAGTTTAAGTTCTACATTATAAAATGACTTATATTTTATTTTTTAATCAGTGCAAATTTCACTTTATTTAATACAGTATTTAAATAAGTAATGTGTACATTTTAACATAGTGTTTTTAACATTATATTTTGACATTATAAGCTTGTTTTTATATAAACACATTGGAGTTACTGTTCTATACTCTGTATATGAAAAATGTTTTAGAGAGTAAGAAAAATATTATCCTTTCAAATAAATTTAAATGAAATTTGAGATTGAATTAAAAGATAAATTTTATATATTTAAAAATTTTATCTAAAAATCTACAAAAAAGAAATGATATGACTATGCTATTTTATTCGTTGAGTAACGAAAACAAGTAAATAGAGTGATTAAAATTTAACCATGCAAATACTAAATAAGCAACTTAAATTACGATGAAGAGAAAAATAAATACATAGTTCATGAATTTTTGGCAGATATAACTAATGGACTATATATATTCATTTCCAAATTAGATTTACATTTTTTTTCAAAATAAAAAACTCATATTTTTTTCATAATAATGCTAATGCTATATATTGAAGAATAGTCTCTAACTCTCTACTACTAATCCACTATTGATGCATTCTTCTTCATGTGGCAATCTTCTTCATCAATATAGATATTCCTTGGTTATGTGACCAAAGTAAGTAGGGCGCATGTCCTTCACTACCAGGGGTGCCCTTAAATATTAGGGCAACTATTTTCCACATGAAACAAAAGTTGAAAACTCTTCTTCCCTTAACAACCTCTGCTGCCTGGCTATGAAGTCCTCCACCTTCTTCCTAAACTCTTCGCTGCTCATTTCCTCCTCCCCTCCGCCGCCTTCCTCCTCCTTTTCCCGGCACTTCACCGTCGTGGCGGAACGCCTCAGCTCCCTGCCACTCTCCTCCGCACCGGCGCCCATGCTCCGGCCCTCCGATCGGCTCCTGTTCATTTTCCGGCGCTTCCCCGGAGTTTCTTCCTCTTCTTCTTCTTCTTCCCCTGAAACAGAGATGCTCTGCCTCCCCTGTTTCTTGATGCATTTCGCCGGGGAAACTCCATCTTCTTCTTCTCGAACAGAGATGCTCTGTTTTTCCATCTCCCCACTACCGTCTCCCGAACAAGAAGAGCCGCCCTTTGATTTTCGGTAAAGGACGATGACTATGGCGTTCCCGACGACGAACAAAACCCGGGGACTGATCAGGTGACCCAAGATTCCCCTGAAATCGACCTCGGGGAACTTGAAGTCCCGAGGGAACCGGAGGGAGAATCTCGAGAACATGAACACGAGGAAGCAGAACTCGACGAGCCGGAACACGGCCGTCACCTTCTGCATCCTCCGGTACTTGTTCATGGCTTTCACCTTCTCCGCCTTGATGTTGTTAAAGCTGTACAAATCCATTACAGAGGCAAAGAACTGAAAATGGTGGACTTCACTCGAAAGAGTGGATTTGGATTAAAACCATAACTCAGAGAAAACAGAGTTCTAAAAAAATTGGAGAACAAAAAACAGAGTGAGTGGGTAAAGATTTACAAATGTTTTTTTTAATTATTTTATGGGAGGGGTGGAGAAGGAAAGCAGTGTATATATACTCCTATAGGACAGGGAGAAGTAGAAAGTGGCACTTAATTATCCTAATATAAAAATATACTCGGTATAATTCTCCGGATCCATAAATAAACTTTACCTTTACTATTTACAGGACCAAACTTTATTCAATTTGTTGGCCTATTTTCGTCACTCATTTAATAAAATAATAGTCATGTCACCTCTAGTTTTGTAGATCTTTTGATATACTCCGTAGTTTTTAAATACTCCGTATGTAATTTCTATTTTTCAATTCTACACCATTTTTCATATAAAATGATTTTAAAATAACTTCAGTCAAACATCGTAACGCACAATGTAAAGTTTATTTGTGGACGGAGGTAGTATTAGAGATTAATGTTAGCGTTTTAAATAAAATTTTAACGATACAGATTACTTTGAAAACGCTAACACTAAAAGATGCTTGTAGATAGTCTTTTCAAAAAGCTAACGCTAATCTATAACGTTGTTTCCAAACATGCCCATAATCACTCCCTCCTCCATAAATTACACTTTGTTAAATTTAAAAAAAAATGAAATTGAGTGAGAAATCCACTCAATTTAAAAAAAAATTATTCGGAAACAAGACGTTTAAGTATTAGCATAATTACTTCTGGTTGAAGAATAATTCCTTTAGGCATTCCTTTCCACTTCGGAAACAATAAACCAGAAGAATCTTGTGTAGGGCTGCTCTGTTTATTTACCCCTTACGTACAAGTCATGGGGATTTGATTGATGGAATATATTGAATAAATCAATTCCAACTAAAATAAATGGATTAAAAGGCATTATTTCATTTAGATTGAATTTATTTTAAATTGATGCTGTAATAGAAATGAAAATTTTACAAAAAAAAAAAATATTTAACTTCACGCGACATTCACTTAAGTATGAATTGCATAATACGCATTTATTCAGGATAAAAACGATTATTATTATTATTATTATTATTGAACACAAAATAATTTTAATTTTTTTAAAAAAATAGTTTTAAGATGAGAAAAAAGAAAAAGTTAAACAAGGAGTAGGAGAAAGAAAGGAAAAGAGTGCTTTTTGATGCATGCATAGACATTAGACAGCAATTGGGTATGTACACATGGAATGGAGGGGTGATAATGGCATATGATGCTGGGAACAATCCATATCATATCATTCCCGCCCTTACATACCATTATCCATCCATCTAAACTTATGGTTCGAATGGTTTTAAGATTATTATTTGGATATTTAATTTGATATCTCTTGAATTTGATTAAGGAAAGATAATCATCTCTCTATCTCTCTAATTCAATTATCAGTCACTTGACAAAATTAACCACCCACAATCTTGGTTGTCGTCACAACCACTTATGTGAAGAAGAGTGCCACAAATGCCCCTTTGTCTCATCAATTATACTAATACCGATTTTAAATTTTGGTATTAGCATAAATTTATTACGCATTTTTTAATGTTAATTTTTGTATTAGTGTGAATTTTTCATTTTTAGAAAATCATATATACAGAGTAATGGACTATATATATATATATATATATATATATATATATATATATATATATATATATATATATATATATATATATATATATATCGGTTCCGGTGAGAATATATAATCTAATGAAAGAAATAAGAAAACATTTACCCCGTTAGATTTACTATATTGCATCACCTATTAGATTACATCTCCTAAGGATAATTATGTATTTTCGTAACTCTTTCTCTTTCTGTATTTCTATATTCAGGTCCGCAAGTCTAGCGCAGGCCAAATGTTCAATTTCAAGGGCCTGTTCTTTAGAGCTTGAACTTTTAACTTCCAGTTTCTTTCAGTTCATTCCAGTTTTTTCCAGTTTCTTCCAGTTCTTCCAGATTTTTTCAGTTCCTTCCAGTTTCTTCCCGTTCCTTCCAGTTTCTTCTAGCTTTTTCCAGTTTCTTCTAATTTCTTCCAACTATATATATTTTCTTCAAATTATTTCTACTTTCTGACAAATCACTCTAAAAAAATATTATTATTATTATTACTATTACAACTTTTTTTAATTACAACTTCTATGTTCATAACTATAGTTTATAAATTATTTCATTTTTTCATCTCACTATTTTTATGATTCACATTAATTCTTCCAGTTTCTTCAACCTTTTAATATGAATAATACCATTTTTTTGTATATTAATCTACATGAAAAATTAGGAAACGATTTAAAAAATTATGGATAAATAGTTATATAGAATATTTTTTAATCTAAATTTATATAAGGTAAATTACATTTTAAGGGCCTGGAAGAATAATACTCCCTCCGTCCCAAAAAGTCCGACACGTTTCGAAAAAACTGCGTCCCGTAAAGTCCGTTACATTTCTATTAAAAAACCACTTTTACCCCTTACTTTTTCATACCCTACCTATCACATCATACCTTTTTCCTAATAATCTACCCATTACATTCTACTTTTACCCATCACATCAAGGGTATTTTTAGAAAGTCAACACCAAAATATCACTCCCTTAATTTCCCAAAAAGTCAATATGTACTAATCTTTTTGGGACGGAAGGAGTATTATGAAAACCAAGAGAAAACTACATTTTGAAAAAGAAAAAATGACTCAAGAGGTGTAATATTTATGCTAATTTTATATTCTAATTATTTTTTTAAACTAGCTTTTTATATATGAAAAATAATACTCGTAATATTTTTTTTATCTTAAAGACAATCATTAAGATAATGTGATAACACCACCAACAACAAGAATAATAATAATAATAATAATAATTTATAACAACAAGAATCAGAATGAGAATAATATAAAATCACATACTTCCTCCGTCCCAAAAAGTTTGTTACGTTTAGAAAAAACTGCGTCCCGTAAAGTCCGTTACATTTCTATTAAAAAACCACTTTTACCACTTACTTTTTCATACCTTACCTATCAAATCATACCTTTTTTCTAATAATCTACACATCACATCCTACTTTTACCCATCACATCAAGGGTATTTTTGGAAAGTCATTACCAAAATATCCCTCTCTTAATTTCCTAAAAAGTCAAACCGTCCCATTCTTTTTAGGACGGAGGGAGTATAATTTTTTTAAATTTTTTTTTTTAAGATTTTCAATTTTTTTCAGTTTTTTTAGTTTCTTTAAATTTTTTTCAGTTTTTCAAATTTTTTCCAGTTTCTTTCAGTTCCTTCCAATTTCTTCCAGTTCCTCCATTTTCTTCCAGTTTCTTCCAACATCCGGTTCTTTTTTTCCAATTCTAAAGAACATGCCCTAAATCTCAAATAGTTTCTAGAGTTTTATCTTCCGATCCAGAATTGTATATTCTCCCAATTAAAACTTTTTTCACCATTGTCAAGATTTACATTACCCTAGAGTAGTTTGTTGTCTTCGGTGTTCATCGGAAAAGGTAAAAGACCTGTTCGCAGGGCTGTATTGTGAGTCCTCACATGGATTCAGGTACTTTCTTTTAATTTCCTATACTAGTGAATTTTTAGAATTTCATTTGTTTGCATCTATTCTCGCTATTTTAAAAGGAAAATGCTAGGGTGCCATCACATTGGTGCTACCATGGGTGCACCCATGCTTCGCACAGACAATAATTGTCTGTGCGACACAGACAATTATCGTCTGTGTTTGTCTGTGCGAAGCATGGGTGCACCCATGGTAGCACCAATGTGATGGCACCCTAGCATGGTCCATTTTAAAATTCTTGTTTCTATCATAGCCTTATTTGCCCAAATTGATTGTTTTTAGTTTTTGGACTTGCATGATGCATCTTATTTAAAACTATAGTGTATATCTATTCGAATGATGCATCCAATTCATTTATTTACATCTTAAAATTTTCAGTGTTTATCTAATCCTTCATATTTCTAATTTTTTGTATAAAAATATGTGCGCATCTGATTGATTTGTTTTGCCCAATTTCCAGTATGTGTTTTTGTGTTTCAACTTGCATGGTGCATCTAATTTCTATTTTGTTGCATTTTGTTTTCCTATGTTCCTATTCCTGTGCGCATCTAATTCATTTTTTCCCAATTCATAATTTTTATGATGCATTTTGTTTTTGCATGTTTGTATTCACGCTTTTATTTTTTTCTTCTTATTTTTTACTTTTTGTTTACTTTTTCTTGGAGTATTTATTAGAAATTGTTGGGCTTGGCAATGATGTTGGACAATTAGGACTTCATTGGGGTTGACTGATTTTATTTTTTTCCTTACTTATTGTTTGTTTTTTTTCATGTTATATATGGTGCATTGTGAGTATCTAACTATATACAATGGTAGGATGAGTTTTTGTACAGTGTTCCCGCCCAATTTTTTGGGCCAAGTCATTGCTAATTGGGCTGGGTGTGATGAGCTTAGAGTAAATGGGGCTATGAGGTCTATTAGTGACAGGCTATTAAAGTGTACCCGTATAGTTTACTCCGTAATCCATTGTCTGGCTATTAAAGTGTACAGAGTGGCGGAGAGCCATATCCAATCAAACACACCTGCCTCAAGTCCAATTGCATTTATTAAGAAGATTTAACATATCTTTCTTTTTGTCTTTTCAGAGCCGCGTGCACAAACCTCTCGGGTCGGGTAAGCTGCTCGCCTTTTTTTCTAGGGTTTTGTCTGCTCTTCGAGCTCTAATGTCGCTGCTCATCGCTCGCGAGAGACCAGCTTCTTCCGCATTTCTTTTTTATTACTTCGTACAAAAATGGAGGAATAATAATAGATTAATTTTTCAGATGGTTGTTGTCCGTCTTCGAACTTAGCCACGACGGTAACAATTCAATTTTGTTGGGACAACGATAATGGCAGCGTGGTTGGTTGGGTATTTACACCATTTCAAGTTCAGTTTAATTTTCCATCGAAAACTATATTTGTAATTATAGATTTGGATCTTGGATGTCGTTCTTAGGAGAGGTGGATAGAGCTGGAGAACAATACAGCTTCAACCCAGCTTATCAGGCCGGGGCTTCAATGGAAAGTAGAGAATGTGAGATGAAGGTAATTCCCTATTCTTCATTATTTTTTCAATTTCTTTTGTATTAACATTAATATTCTTAGGTTTTCCAGAAATTTGGACCCAAATTGAAAGGAGATTAGAGGCACAGCTCAAACCTGTAACCTGCTAGAAGGTTGCCGATGAGACACACTATTCACCCTTTTTATTTATTTACTTATTATTTATTTATTTTACTCTCTTTTAATTTAGTTTTTCAAATTTACACCTGATGTGGAGTTGCAAATTTGCTAAATGTGTGTATGAGGCTGTTTTTAGGGGTATGAATATAGATATTTATGTTACTTAGTTTAGGGATGTTGGAGACGCTATTATAAAGATTAATAGTCGAAGATTACTTTTGTTACT